TGGAAAGAGGTACTTTTCTCCCTTTCTCACAATACAAGAACTTGTGGGAGTTCAATGGAATTGCTGAGCAGTTGAGTTAGAACGGATAAAAGGAAGTACTTCTTCACCCAAAGAGTGATTAACAGATGGAATTCACTGCCACAGGAGGCGGTGGTGGCTACAAGCATGGACGGCTTCAAGAGGGGATTGGATAAACATATGGAGCAGAGGTCCATCAGTGGCTATTAACCACAAGGTATAGATAGGAACTCTCAGGCTGGGGCAAGTGATGCTCTGTATTCTTGGGGGGGGGGGCAACAGTGGGAGGACTTCTACTGTCCTGGCCCCACTGCTGGACCTCCTGGTGGCACCCGGTATTTTTGGCCACTGTGTGACAGAGTGTTGGACTGGATAGGCCATTGTCCTGATCCAACATTGGCTTCTCTTATGTTCTTAACTCTCTCACTGCATTCAGACATCACAAAAAGCCAGTGGTAGGGCTAGATGTGCAGAAACCGGGCTTGTTGCCATCCTTATGTGCACTGCGTCCTCCTCGTGCAGAGAATCCCAGTTAAGAATGAACTCTGATCGGCAATGTTCAAGTGCTTGGCAGAGTCAGTTTTCTCTGCGGGGCCCCCACTTGTACCTCACTCTGCAAGAAGGGAGGAGGGAGAAGCCAGCATGGTAGTGTCGGTTTCATGCCCATCTTGGCTTAATGTTGGCCTTCTACAACATTTGAATGCAGCCTGGGCGATATAAACTGAAGCATCATCAAGACGTGGGTTTGCATGCAGGTAGCTTGATATTGAACCAGAAGGCCAGGATAGCGACCGATCTGGCCCATAGGTACAGTGGGGCTGTTGGGGGCTCCGTCCCGTTTCTTAAAGGTCCCCCTGCTTCTTCCCAAAAGCATTTAAAGGAATTTGAGAAGAAGCGGGGAGGTGGTGTGCCCCCCTCTCCCTCCCCTCCTGCAAGATTTAACGGGCCAAAGGGCCCTTCAGCTGATTGTTGGGGAGCACATGACCTGCCGATCAGCTGGAGGGCCCTTTAAATGTTGCAGGAGGAGAGGGAGAGGGGTGTGCACAAATAATTGGTGAGGGGCATATAGTGGCAGCTCCAGCAGAAGAATTTTTGCCCCAGAAGCCACAGAATCCTAGCTATGGGCCTATGACCAATCCTCTCACTTTCAGATCTTGCAAGACGACTACAGCCGCACGCCTGCTCCCCGGCTGCTCAAGGAGATCCAGGAAGCCAAGAAGCACATCCCTCAACTGCAGGAGCAGTTGTACAAAGCCACAGGCTCTGCTCAGGTAAAGGAAATACTCGCAGCCAGCCCCGTAGCTAGGGAATTTTTTTGGAGGGGGCCTCAGGGGGCCTGCCAGCTAATTAAATGAAAGTACCATGCAGGTGGTAAGTTGGAGCACTAAGGGTAGCCCAAGAGGGAGGGGGCCCAGAAGAAACACTAGGGGGGCAGGCCCCATGGGCCCCATGTTAGCTACGGGCTCGCTCGCAGCCCCGATCAGACCATCTTACCTGGGAACAGTGTGTGGGAGCAGGCCGTTCCCAGCTCATGCTGGTTTCCACAGGCCTGCCCGACCCACCCGAGTGCAGTAAATCAAAGGACGCACAAGTAATGGCTTGGTCTTATTTCTAATTGAGCTCACCAAAGGAGACGATGATTGATTGATTGATGGGTGGGTGGTTGGCACTGGCATCGTGTGGAGAAATTAAAGGATTGTAAAGAGAAGCTGTGTGCTCTTTCTTCAGAGGGTCTGCTGGGAAGATTACATGCTGCATGTACTTGCGAACACTTTGACTCTGACCCTTTGTCTGTATCTGTGTATCCTTCAAAGGCTGAGTCTTTTTTTTTTTTTAAGGTGCAAATTCCGCTGATGAGACGCCTGGCAAAATGTGCCTGTCAGTCTCTGAAAAAGAGCCATTATTAGGAAACAAACACTGTATTTTATAGATGCTGCCTCTCTGCTTTCAGGACGGTGTTCTGTCTTTCAAGCCCGCAACAGAGTCTTTGCAGTTCGGCGAGGCAGAAGCTGAGAGCGGGGAAAGGCTGATCAGAGGAGACTGCAGCTTTGGCGAAGGCTCCCAGTCGAACAGCGACACAGCCGAGGTGAGTCCTGGTTGGTGCTGAAACTTCTAGAGGCAGCGTTTGGCTCGATCGGGGAAGTTTTCCTCGCTCAGCGTCCTGTGTCTGCAGAGCAGCCCCTTCCCTGCAGCTCAGATGGTCTTCTTGGGCAACTATACAATGATCCTTTCTGTTGTTAACCACACCCACTCCGAAGCAGTCATGGTGGTCTTGGTTTCAACTGCCCCTTGACAGTTCCCTAAAAGCTGCTGTTAGCGTTACCCTACCTCAATCCTCTTCTTCTGCAAAACCATCACAACAAACATTAAGGAGAACTCCCTGACAGTTAGAGCGGTTACTCAGTGGAACAGGCTTCCTTGGGAGACGGTGGGCTTTCCTTTGGAGGTTTTTAAGCAGAGGCTATAGATAGCCATGTGACAGCAATGCTGATTCTGTGAATTCAGGTAGATCATGAGAGGAGGGCAGGAAAGGATAAGCCAGTGCTTGGCTCTCGTGGCCCTTTCTTATAGGCCCCGGGTAATGCCAATTGCCACTTTGTGGTCATGAAGGAATTTTTCTTCAGGCCAGATTAGCCCAGGGATCGTGGAGGCTTTTTACCTTCCACTGGGCATAAAGCAGGGGTCAGTGTCTGTGTGTGAGATACTTGTGAATTTCCTAGTAGATGATCTAGATCAGTGGTGTCGAACTCATTTGTTATGAGGGCGGGATCTGACATAAATGAGACCTTGTTGGGCCGGGCCCTGCGTGTCATAAAATGTAATGCCAGGTAGCGGAGATATAAACTTTATAAAGGACACAAACACATAGGGGCTTTTCTTTTACTTAAAATGAAAACATGCTTCAAACGTCAGCACTCTTGCAATATCTTGTTTATTTAACAGTGTCTGATAACTGACACCTCTTGCTCTGAATTATTGCATCAAAATGTCTGTGCTGTTGCAATCTTGAGTGTGCTGTTCAGGTGTGTATCTCTGTAAGATGCAAACCTACGATGACACAGCAGCAGCAGAACCGGAAGAAGAAGCAGAAGACCGCCAGTTCCACTGCGGGCCTGATAGAAGCCCTCCGGGGGCCTGATTTGTCCCCCGGGCCGCATATTTGACACCCCTGGTCTAGATGACCCTTGAGGTCACTTCCAGCTCTATGGTTCTGTATTTCTAAGCATGTGAAGTGGGCCAGACTGGGAGAGAGCGACTGGGAGCTGCCTGGCTGTGCTGGGATCCAAACCCAGTTGTCTTCAGTTCATGCCCCTGCTGTTGTTTCTGTCTTCCGCAAGTTAGTGTACTCCGATTTCGGTCCCATAAAGTTTCCCGGGGGTGTGTGCACCCACTGGCCCGCCTTCTTTTCAAAGGCTGTAGTGTTTTTTTGTCTGTGTTTGCATTTCAAGGAGAGGCAAATACTGAACGTGGTGCTGTAAGGAAGTTTGACGCGTGGGTTGTCTTTGGCAGCCTGGGGAAAGGTGTGCCATGTTTTTCAAACCTGGGGTTTCCTGGCACAAGTTCAGTTACTGGGCAGAGAAGATGTAGGGTAGTCGCTTCTAGAGGATGGAGAGAGAAATAACACCGCCTTGCAGAACATGTCAGAATTCATTATGTGGTTAGAATGACTCACATTTGTGGGGCAATATGCCATGGTAGTGTGGGGGGGGGGGGAATGACAGGAGCCTGTTCCTTCCAGTACACCTCAGTCCCTTTCTAGCTCTTAACAGAGTATTGTTTGTTAAATGAAACATTTAACGAGATGCTAACAATATAGTAGGGGCAGCTAATCCCCCCCAACCCATTGTTTTGCCTCTGATTAAGACAACTCCAGGCTGACGCGTGAAAACTTGGGGCTCAGGGGATGTTGTTCTTAGCTGTACTGGTGTCTTGAACTTTTGTGCTACTCCTTTCCCCTCTGTTTTCACAACTGTCGCAGATTTTTCTTTGTTTCACCAATGTTAAATGTGCAGGTGTAAACTATTTTGGCATCTGTGTATGAGAGCAGCTCCACAGATGTGAACTAGTAGCCATCTGTTTCCAGCTTTCGATTCCCAGCAAACTATGCTGAAGCTAGCATGTTGAATCCATGCAACCCTATGTGCAGTGTCTTCAGGTCATCAGATGCATTTCTGTGAGAGGAAGGCGAGTCAGAAGCAGTGTTCCCTCTAAGCTGAGCTAGTGTGAGCTGGCTCACAGATTTTTAGCCTCCAGCTCACACATTTTTGTCTTAGCTCAGGAAGGATGGCTCCAGAGCAAACTAATTTATGCAGTAGCCACATCACTCACTCACAAGTTGAATGCCAGAAGCTCACAAAGTAGAATTTTTGCTTACAAGACTCCACAGCTTAGAGGGAACATTTTGGAAGAGATGTGCACCGTTGAGAGGAGCGTGGTAGGGAGAGAGGTTTATTTTACCATCTTCCTGCACTTAGGAGGTTTCAGATCCTCAACACTTGGCCATCAAATCCTCCTTGCTCATTTTTCAGGGAACTGCGTTGGATGTCTTCCCTCACAGAAGGGCTAGAGTCAGTGTTCCCTCTAAATCTCCCCCCCCCCCCGAACGGAGCAGTTCACATCCTGAGCAGAATATAATTGCTATAATTTTAAAATGGGTAATGGGCAGTGCAAGGCCCTGTGTGGCTCCAGATTACTGCTGAGTGGGGCTTCCTGTGTTAATAAACGGCCGCTCATACTCACAGTTTAGAGAGAACACTGGTAGTCCCACGGAGGCAATCTGTTCAGCCCAGGAGGTTTTGTATAAGACCGAAGCTGGCACTGTGGTGTCTGGAAAGGAAGCCCTAACTGATGAGTCTCCTTTCTCTGGTAGCTCCCAGTTGTAGGCTGGTTTGAGAGTGTGGCTGTAGCCACGTACGATTCAGCAAAAAATCAGGTTCACCAGCTAAGAACTTTGCCTTAATTTCCTTTGCCATAAAGGAATTGTACCTTGTGATGGTACCTCTCTTTTATTTTGTGTGGTTATGTGTGATGTAGTTTTAAATTTCTTGTTGTTTCTTTCTCTCTCTCAAAGTATCGATCACTTCCACCAGGAGTTTTATTCCACTCTTTAATTAACCCTTCCCACGGCATTGTGCCAAGCTCTAAGGCTCCTTCGTTGGACTGTGTGGTTCTGTGGATAAGACATTGGGTTAACAATAACCGAGATAAATTTTTTTTGGTAAAAGAAGCGTATTGGTTAGAAGATGTTTTGTTAAGTTGCTCAGTAAAATCTTTCCCTTTTTAATCAGGTCTCTGTCAGCTTTTCCCCCTCACGCTCTTAAAATACTCTGACTATATTAGATTTTTCCTAACATGTCCCCTTAGGTATATGTCGTTCTTCCTTTAGAATCTTAATGCCTTTCTAGGTAGAAGATGACTTCTCAGACTCTGTGTAGGTTGACCACATCTGACAGCTGCTGACTTCAGACTAGATAGATAGATAGATAGATAGATAGATAGATAGATAGATAGATAGATAGATAGATAGATAGATATAGTGTCTATATCTATAGATATATATAGATACACACACACACACACGCCTCTGCCCACACACTCTCAGTCACAAACCAACCACCTCACTCACTCATCTCCCTCTTTCACCCCCCTTGTTCTTCTGACACTTACCAACCATTTAAAGAAACACACATGTATAACTTGAAATCATTACATACCCCTTCCTATGAACAATATTTCTTTCTGTCTCTGAAAGCAGAAGCTAATGGGAAGATTTTGTGAAATCTCTGTATTTTGACCTTTCTCTTGGGGGAGAGGTACGTGTTCTCTGCCACTACATAACTTTCAAAGTATTGCAGCTGTTTGTGCCTTGTTGCCCATCTTCACTGCTTGGAGAGCCAGTGTGGCGTGGCAGTTAGAGTGTCGGGCTAGGATCTGGGAGACCCAACTCTGAATCCCCCCTTTGCCATGGAAGCTCATGGGATGATCTTGGGCCAGGCACTCTCTCTCAGCCTAACCTACCTCACAGGGTTGTTGTGAGAATAAAATGGAGGAGAGGAGAAGGATGTAAGCGACTTTGGGTAAATACTTTGGGTATTTTCAACTTTCAGTAAAGATCCTCTGTTTAGAGTCAAAGGACATGGTGAGTCTATTTCAAACCAAGACCTTGCAGATCATTTGGGATTTTCCAACAACAGGAACTCCCTTTTCAATATATGAAAGTAGTTTATCAGATATTTACCAAAACTTTCAGGAATATCTTAGCAACTTTGGTACCACTTTCCCACCAGTGTTCTTCTTTTGAGGGAGATAATCTCTTCTCACTGGTTTCTTTCCATTGGGGTACATTTTCTTATTGTTGTGCAGACACATCATGGGGTCTAGCAAATCAGAATGGGGTTGACATGCTTGTCAACAGATCACTTATTTGATTGCAGTCAAATATTGTCAGTTATTCCCCGAAATTGCCAGTGTATAGGTGGCTGATGAGTTTCTTTTAAAAATTAATTACAGTGTCATTTGTTACGAAGGTCTAGAATGAGAGCTGCTTGACCTATGTCACTCCACCAGTCAAGAGTAGACCCGAGAGGAAGAGCAAAGTTTCTCCTGCTGGCCACCTGCTATAACAGCAGTTGGCTCAGAGGTTAAGACGCTTAGCTGCAGACCAGAAGGTCAATAGCTCGGCAGTTCGAGACCCGAGTGCTGCGTGACGGAATGAGCTCCCGTCTCTGGTCCCAGCTCCTGCCAACCTAGCAGTTCGAAAGCAAGAAATTGCAAGTAGATAAATAGGTACCGCTTCGGTGGGAAGGTAACAGCGTTTCATGCGCCTCAGTGTTTAGTCATGCTGGCCACATGACCACGGAAATGTCTTCAGATAGCGCTGGCTCTTTGGCTTGGAAATGGAGATGAGCACCACCCCCTATAGTCAGATTCAACTGGTTTTCGAGCAAGGGAAACCTTTTACCTTTACCTTTATCTCTAAACAGCCCTGACATGGATAGCCCAGGTTGGCCTGATCTTGTCAGATCTCAGAGGCTAAGCAGTGTCAGCCCTGGCTAGTATTTGGATGGGAGACTTCCAAGGAACTCC